AGCAGCTGTGTGCTCCTTGCTGGAAGCCATATAATTTAGTCTGAAGGAGCCTGAATAAACTGTCATCAGGGACTGCCTGAGCATCAACTCCACAGCTGTTTGTCATTCCCGATCCCAGTTGTCATGCCAAATTTTCTGCTTTGTCTTAACTCTGCCACTTGCTACACAAGAGGCTCTGTTTCAACATGCACAAGAGAGCTCACTCAAGACTGCAGGTGAGCACGGAATCTCTCTTCAATATGACTTAAGAGGGGGCACTGAGCAGTCAGCTACGTGCTAGCACTAGAGCGGCCACAGTTACATGCTTAGGTGGCGACAAGCTGTCCAAGCCATCAGGTGAACAAGGGGTGCACCTGAGCAAGCAAATTGCACCCCAAACTGGTACTTGGCCAAGGTTCCTGGCTATCAGCTGGCAGGGAACCAGGGAGCCCAGACTTCCGGTCTGGGACAGCTGTTGGCCAAGGCTAATGCCCAGAGAGCCTCAGCCCACCATCAGTTTGAGCAGCGGCCCCAGATGGGAAGCAAGACAGGAACTCTTCTAAGTGCCACCTATTAGCACAGCAAAGGTCTCGGTCACTGAGGTGGCCAGTAGAGGACCATCTGTCCCGATGCACATCAGAGGATCTCTCCTCCAGTTGCTCCATGAGCCTAAAAGCTTAGCTTGCAGGGAAAGTCATGTTTTATTTCTGCATCTGACAATGTGATAGCTACCAGATATTCCCTCCACAAAGACATGATCATTGGTGTGGGTTTGGCATGGCTGAGCACCTTTGTTCTATCTTCCTAATATTTGAGAAGGCAGAATAAGATGTCTGTAGGTTTCTTCTGACAGCTTCACTTCCTGTCTTTGTGACTCTCTACCAACGATAGGAAAAACCAACAGTTCAAGACAATCCTCCTCACCTTTTTTGCTTGTGGCCCAAGGCAGAACAGAACAACCAATACCCTCATGGGCCCAGTGGTTCGTCCCAGTGGTGTGGAAGGACTCTTCTTCCCATCACTCAAATCAGACCATTTCTCCCTAATTTTAACAATAACCGCCCCTCACTTTTGGGATCATTTCCAAAATCCTACTCCTACGCTGAAAGTTCTTTCAACCTTCTCTCTCAGTGACCGGCCACCCTATCTAACACATCACATACACACCCATAGTCCAGATCCTCTCTCCTGCTTTATATTTTTTCCTTAGAATTTAACACAAAACAAACACTAGGCTACTTCTTTGTTTACTGTCTGACTGCCCTATTAGAAGGGAAGCACCACAAGGGCAGGAATTTTGTCTGTTTTGTTCACTGCTGTATCCCTACCACCTAGAACCATGCCCAGCACAAAATAAATTATTTGTTAAATGAATGAATAAACAAGCCAGGGGTTCCTGGCCTATTTCTTATTCTGCAACTCGATCTTGCATTCTTCACTCATACCGTAGAAACCGCAAAGGCCTCTCACCCATTCCTGACTCCAGACAGTCCCCAGGTCAATTCCAGAAACTTGAAATGCTATCTCCCATTCAAACAATCAAGCACGTGCACACACACACCCATCTGTTTCAATCTGGCTCAAAATTCTATCAAATTGATCTCACGACTGCTCATGTCTATCCCTTATCTCCATATCTGTCCCATCATCTCCATAGCTGTCCCATCATCTCTATATCTGTCCCTCATCTCCACAGCTGTCCCATCATCTCCATATCTGTCCCTCATCTCCACAGCTGTCCCATCATCTCCA